TTACTAGGAGCATTTAAATTATATAACTTAGGGTACAAAAAGTTAAGTAAATTAGTGATCTTTAAAGATGCTTATGAAAAATCACCCGAAGAGAGATTGTTTATTAGCACCATGAAACTGGCGTTACTTCATTTTGCAAAGGCGAAGCTAGCTAGGGATTTGGAAGCCTTAGAAGATCAGGTGGTAGCAGCAGACTGAGTGGCCTCGTCTGGTTCCACATCATAGCGGGAATGCTTCCAGCTTTCCCCGCTGAGTAAGGTGCTGGCTGGGGGTTTGTCATAAACCGCCTTGATTGTGTTGAAAAATGTTCCTTCTGTACCCAATTTGCTTCAGGTTTTCATCATGAAAGACGTTGTATTTTATCAAATGCATTCTCTGCATCTATTGGGATAATCATGTGGTGTCTGTTCTTCAGTTTGTTAATGTGATGTATCACATTTATTGATTTGCAAATGCCTAGCAGGCATAAATTCCACTTTGTCTAAGTGACTGATCGTTCTGACGTGTTGTTGGATTCAGTTAGCTCGTATTTTGTTGCGGATTTTTGCATGTCTGTTCTGCGATATTGGTCTATAGTTCTGTTTCTCTGGTTTTGGAATTAAGGTGATGCTGGCTTCATAGAAAGAGTTTGGAAGGATCCCCTCCCTTTCAATTGTTTGAATAATTTGAGAAGAATTGGAGTTAGTTCTTCCTTAGAGGTCTGCTAGAACTCAGCAGTGGAGCCGTCCGGCCTTGGACTTCTTTGTTGGGAGGGTCATTATTATTGATTCAATCTCTGTCTTGCTTGTGGGTCTTCTAAGTGATGCTGAGATGGCTGAGCAGCCTTGTGAGAAGATAATGGGCCTCATGTGTAGCAGCTTCTGTCGCTGCCACTCACAGTGGATCACAGACTTGATACCAACTGTGTACTTTCTTGGGTAAATCTGAAAGAGAGCATTATTTTGGTATATATTCACTGTGGAATACTACTCAGCCTTAAAAACGAATGAAGTCCTGTTTATTGCAACAACATGGATGCAACTGGAAGCCATTATACTTTGTGAGATCAGACAGTCCAGAAAAGAGAAAATATCATATTTTTCCCTGATCTGTGATAACTAATAAAGTACCAAAAATGTACTGTATGCAAGTGAAATTGGCGTTTTGAGATGCGATGATTCTTTACAGCCCTTGTTTCTGCTGTTGAGGAAGTGTTTTTTCCTTCTAACTCTTTGTTGGACTCTGTACTTAGTGTAGGGTTAATCTGATGAGTATAAAGTAAACTGAAAGTGGATCATAGTAAAAATTAAGAGAGGGAATAGGAGAGGAAGGAGGAGGAATGGTAGGATCATGGTCTGGAATGAGGGTAGTGTTCCTAAATCCATATATGTGAAATACATGAAGTTCGTATGCCTTAAATAAAATTTTAAAAACAAGAAAAAAGAAAAAAATAAGAAAGCAAACATTATTGAATGGGTGTTAGGAGAAGAATGATTAGATATGACATAAGAAGCACAAAATGTTAAAAGGAAGAAAAAAGTTTCCTTGAAACACACTATTATGAAAATGAAAAGACAGAGGAAGAAAATGTTTACCAAATACCTATCTAATAAAGAATGTGCATATAGAATATACAATTTAATAATCGGACTACAAAGACCCTAGTAAAAATGTTTAAATATTTGAACTCCAGGGATGGTGCTGTGGTGTAGCGGGTAAAGCTGCCACCTGTGGTGCCGGCATCCTTTATGGACGTTGGTTCAAGTCCCTGGCTGTTTCACTTCTGATCCAGCAGAAAGCAGTAGAAGATGGCCAGATGGCCAAGTACTTGGGCCCCTGTATCCACGTGTGAGGCCTGGAAGAAGCTTCTGGCTTCCGGCTTCAGATTGATCCAGCTCTGACCATTGCAGCCATTTGGGGAGTGAACCAACGGATGGAAGACCTCTCTCTCTCTCTCTCTCTCTCCCCCTCCCCCTCTCCCTCTCCCTCTCCCTCCCTTCCTCCCTCCCTCCCTCCCTCCCTCTCCCTCTCCCCCTTGCCTCTACCTCTGTAACTACACCTTTCAGATAAATAAATAAATCTTAAAAAGATTTGAATTCACAGTTTACCAGAGAAGAGCTAGTTTGTGTGCAGTCACAAAAGATCCCAGAGTCAAAGCTGACAGCTTCTCACTCCTGGTCTAAACTATGTCACACAGCTATAGCCATACAAACAGCACGGTTCTGGCATAAAATGAGACCCATGGAACAGAAGACAGCGCCCAGAAGTAAACCAATGGCTGGTCACCTAAGCTGTGACAAGGGCACCGTCAGTGCACAGTGGATGAAGTAAAGTCTCTTCAATAAGTGATGCTGGGAAAGCCAGGTGTCCACGTGCAAAAGAATGAGTTTTGATCCTTGTCTTGCACCGAATACAAGGAAACCATAAGACTACCAGAACAGAACGTGGTCTTGGTACAGATTTTCCTGCATTGATTCCAAAAGACAAAATAAACAAATGAGGCTACATGAAACTAAAACAATTCCTACAGCAAAGCAAACAGTCTACAGAATTAAAAAAAGCATCCTTAGAATAGGAGGCAATGTTTTCAAGTCCTATATGAGCACGTGATAAGGGATAATGTCTGAAATACTAACAAAATTCCAAACAGAATGGAATTAACAGCATCAGTTTATTTTGAAATCTGTGCATGGTTTTTTTCAGTTTTAACTTTCCATGAAACTTTTGAAGACTTCATATATGAGGAACTCATGCAGCTCAAAAGCAAAACAGGAAGCAGCCTAACTTTTTCAAAGGACCTGAATAGACATTTTCCCAAAGAATATGCACAAGTAGCCAACAGCTGCATGAAAAAGTGCTCAGCATCACCACTGCCGCAGTGAGATACCACTTCACTCCTGTTAAGAGTAGCTGTTAGCGGCGGGCGCCGCGGCTCACTAGGCTAATCCTCCACCTTGCAGCGCCGGCTCCCAGGGTTCTAGTCCTGGTCGGGGCGCCGGATTCTGTCCTGGTTGCCCCTCTTCCAGGCCAGCTCTCTGCTGTGGCCAGGGAGGGCAGTGGAGGATGGCCCAAGTGCTTGGGCCCTGCACCCCATGGGAGACCAGGAGAAGCACCTGGCTCCTGCCATCGGATCAGCGTGGTGCGCCGGCCGCGGCGGCCATTGGAGGGTGAACCAACGGCAAAGGAAGACCTTTCTCTCTGTCTCTCTCTCTCTCTCACTGTCTACTCTGCCTGTCAAAAAAAAAAAAAAAAAAAAAAAGAGTGGCTGTTATCAAAAAGACAAAAGAACAAATATTGATGAGGATATAGAGAAAAGAAAACACATACCCAGGGTTGGTAGGAATGTAAATTTACACAGCCAGTATGGAAAGCAGTATAGCAGTTCCTCAAAAAAAATGAAACCGAATTATCATATGATCAAGCGATTCCTCTCAAAGAGTATGTAACATGGAGATGACATCAAAGCCTTGAAGAAACATCTGTACCTGTGTTCATTTCACAGTTATTCACCATCTCCCAGGAATGAAAACACTCCACCTGCCCATCAGCAGATAGATGGGTGAAGGAACTGTGCATCCATACAATGGGATAGTATTGAGCTGCTAAAAAAGACGTCCCATCATTTGCTGTAACCTGGATGAACCTGGAAGACTTTATGACAAGTGACATAAGGCAGACAGAGGGCAGATGATGCGTGATCTTCCTCGTGTGTGGAATTTGAGAAAGTGGAACTCACAGAAGCAGGGAGCAGAAAGGTGTCTGCTGGGACTGGGAGGATGGTGTTCCCAGAATTAAACGTTTCCAGTTTTCAGTTACAAGATGAGTCACTTCTGGGGTGATTGTGGCAATCATAGGACTTGTAAGTAAATCGTCATCAGGTTTATATTCAATGTTTGTTCAATTAGATTTCTTAAACTAAAAAATTCAAATTGAAACCACAGTGTGATGTCATCAGCATACCTAATACCAATTGTCTACAAAGGGCACGAAGGGGGTGACAAAAATTTTCATATGATGCTGGTTATTTTGATACAAAAGTATACATGGCACATTTCTCAAAATCCATCGTTAACTACCTACCTGGGGTATTATGACTGTCTATAAATGAGACTTCCATATAATATGACTGAAGTTTGTATTCCTTAAATAAAAGGTTTCCTTGGGGGGGAAATACAATAAAAAATAAATTAGACTTCAATAAATCTGAAGTTTATAAAACAGAAGACTGCATTAAGCGCTGGTTAGCATCCCAGCAACCTTTGCAGGCTACATGAAATAACAGTGCCTGCATACGTTATAGCTTACTTAATATGTGCATGCTTTTCTGCTTGCATAGTCATATTTATGGAGACACCTTTTAAAATCTTATCATAATAAAGTGTTATAGCACAAATCCAACAGTTTTATATTGTGGTTGTTTCTTATGAGCATGATAAAATATTGGCTTTTTTTTGACAATGAGGCTTATGGAACAAACAACGAAGTAGCTTTCATTCTATGCCTGGTTAGAGCTATATAGAATTTCTTCTGCTTTTAATACTTCAATCCTTAAATATGCAATTTCTCTCTAATTCCTATAGTATTACTTTATTATAAGCTCAAAATACTGTACATGATTCTACATTTTAAATTGCAAACGAATAACTGAATTAATTATAAATCTTTACTTGCTTGACACCCATTTCTGCATTTAAATATCTTGCTTAGCTCAGTCATGCATTTCAACCTTAGCTTTTAATTTGCTTATTGATTTTTTTATCTATTGTTGTTAGATACACAGTCATAAATATTTTTTTCCAGAATTGAAATGAATATCTTTTTCTTTTAAAGGTAAAGTTGAAGTGTGGAATTAATAGAAAACTTTACATGTTTCTCATTGATATTTTCCTTAGCGCTGATAGGAATTACTTCTTATCTGAATAGACCAAATGTCTGTGGTCTAGCCATCCTGTGGTCGTGATGTTTGATTGATACAGCGCTGTGAGGAGGAGACTAATTGGAGCATTGATTATTTCCTATAGCAGACCCCTGGTGCTACCAATCGCCAAGCAAGACAGCTTGTTGGAAAAAGACACCATGTTCAAAGATGCAAGCAAAAGTCTGTGTGTGCAGCGATCTCAGGACAGCACGCCCGAACACGCGGCGCTGAGTGACTCCACCAAGCCCGAGCAGGTGAGCACACCCTTGCGGCATGTCGGCTACTGTTCTTGCACATGAAGTCACGTTTAAAGCCGACATACTCACGCATGTCCACTGGTTCCCATTCCAAGAAAGTCGTAATTGTATAAGTTAGTATTTAAATAGCTTGGACAGTGTAACCATCTTTAATGAATATAATGGCTGTTGTGTTTTTATAATGATTTAAAATTTAGAGTCTATTTATAGTCCAGGAATACAAGTTCAGGCAGTGTGTTACTTCCTGAATATTTCCAGTTGAGTCCTTTTTCTCTATTTTGATGATAATACAGTTTCTGTTGTTTTGTTCCCTCAACTACCCAAGTGTTTTGCATGAAAAGCATTAGGGCGATCCAGTTAGCAAGAGTCACTAATCCTACAGGTGACTGTGCTGAAGTTACATCACGTATGTGTGCACGTGTGCACACGTGTGGGAACCTCAGTGCCCAAGGTCCGGAAGATCACTTTGGAGATGGGAGGGCAATGGATTTAGGATTCCAGAAATTAACATATTTTATCATTACCACAGAAGCAAATGACTTTTTTTTTCATTTTCAAAAAGGAAGAGTAATTTGCATCCTTAAAAATACCGTCTTTTAATGTACCTAGTTTTTAATGTTTCATTTTAGCCAGATTTTCTAGACTTGTTTTTAAAATTAAATTTTAACTTCATTAATTTCTGTTATTTAATTAGAACAGAGAGCAAGACACGAAATACTTTCATATTTTCTTGGGTGGACAGTAGACCCTCTGCATCTACATCCTCAGATTCTAGCAAGCACAGATTGGAAACATTTGGAGAAAACACTGTGTCCGTGTTGAGAATTCCCAGACTTTGCTCCTTGTCATTATTTCCTAAACCACGTGGCCTTGCAGCTGTTCATGTAGCGTGTGCATGGCATCACCTGGAGATGACTGACCTTGTATGGAGGGGTGCACAGGCCACACTTTACCTGATGGACTTGAGTACCTGAATATTTTGGCATCCATGCGTGGGGAGGTGGAGGGAGGGAGGGAGATGGGGAGGTCTAACCTCTTCGGTGCAGTTTGGCTGCGTTCGGCTGCTCAGGCTGCTCTAACAAAGTGGCACACCCTGGACAGCTTGGGAAGTGCACGTCTGAGGTGCTGGCTGAGGTCATCTCTGGGGGGGGGGCTCCTTCCTGCTGGGACAGCGCCTGTGGTGAGAGAGAGAGGAGCTCTGGGATCTCTTCCTGAAATCACGCTGCACATGGCAGCAGGGTTCCCTTCTGAGGGGCTGTGATGGCGTGGATGCACAGTGGAGGCTCCCGGGACTGGGTGCTAAGTCTTGGGTGTGCAGTAAGCAGGGGACGGCTGCGATGGAGTCCCCTTGTGGTACAGACAGGCACATGGACGGGAAGCAGGTGGGCTCCCTGAGTCTCTGCCTCCTCTGTGTTCTGCCCTCCTCCGCCCTCATCAGACACCAAACGCATGGGGCCCCCCATCTGGACTTGGAGCTGAGATGAGCCTTCCTGCTTCCTAAGCGGTTCTTTTGAGGCATTTTGGTCCTACTGATGTATAACTAATGCTAAGGCCGTATCTCCAAATACAGTCACATTGGAGTCGGGCTCAAAGGATGGATTTTATAAGATCATTCAGTCCATAGCCACAGACAAATTAAAAGTTAAGTGAAATTTGAGGCAAGTTTGTGTGCATAAGCTCTGATGTGACTTTCAGCATAGAGTAACGTTTTAGGGATTTCCTGAAATTAATGTCCTTTACTGTAGGAAAACTAAACCAGCCAGTGTCTGCCTCATCCCTTTCTACTTCATAAAGTTTAACACTTATACTCATAAAAATTAGTAATTTAAAATCCCATTTTTGTTTATAGCACAGATGTATATGAACCAACATAAATTAGTTTGGGGCTTGCATTGTGGCCCAGTGGTTTAAGCCACTGCTTGTAACACCAGCATCCCATGTCAGAGCACCAGTTTGAGTCCTGGCTGTTCTGATCCAGTTCCCTGCTCTTGTACCTGTTAAGGCAGCCAGTGCTGGCCCTAGTACTTCAGACTCTGCAGCATACTGGGAGACCTGGATGAAGATCCAGCCAACGCCTGGTCCAACCCTGGCTGTTGTGGCGATTTGAGAAGTGATCAGTGGATGGAAGATCTTTTTCTTTGTCTCCTTCTCTCTTTAATGTTTTACTTTTCAAGCAAATCTCTTATTTTAAATTTATTTTCTATTTATTAATTTGATTTTTAAAAAATTATTTATTTGAATGGCAGAGTTACAGTGAGAAAGGGAAAGAGAGAGGGAGAGGGCGAGGGAGAGATCTTCCATCCAAGAGTTCATTCCTCAAATGGCTGCAACGGCTAGGGCTGCTCCAGGCTGAAGCTGGGAGCTTCATCCAGGTCCCCCACGTGTCTGAGCCATCTTCTGCTGCGTTTCCAAGACTATTCGCAAGGAGCTGGGTTGGAAGCGGAGCAGCCAGGACATGAAGTAGTGCCCAAATGGGACAAAAGCAGCTGTATCCATGTTCCATTTGCTTGTTACTCAAGTGTGACTGCCAGCTGCTTGGGTTCTGTGCCCCAGTGTCATCGAAGTTCACCCACTGCTCATATCACCCTGTCACGTGTCCCTGGCCCTGAGGTGCTAGAAGATTCTCTCCAGGGAGGAGCAGTACAATTCCTGACTGGATGGTGCATTCACATTTCATGGAAGGGTTTAGGAAAGACTTTAAAGCAACAGGGGGATGAGAGCAGTCATTCAGCTCAGCAGTTAGACACCTTCAGCCCATATTCGAATGCCTGGGTTTGATGCCTACCTCCAACTCCCGACTCCAGCTTCCTGCTAGTGCAGACCCTGGGAGGCAGTGGAGATGGCTCAAGTAATTGGGTCCCTGCCACGCCCATGGGAGACCTGGATCAAGTTTTGATTCCTGGCTTTGGCCAAGTCCAAGCATTTGGGGAGTGAATCAGCAGATGGGAGCTCTTCCTAAAAGGAAACCTGTAGAAGTGAAACTGACACTATGAGAAGCAATGACCTGAATAACCCTTGTCTTGACTGTTGAGGATCAGTGTATTTCATTTCATTTTATTTATTTATTTATTCTTTTTTTCTCTACTTAATACCATTTGTTGAACTCCTTACTTAACAGAATTAATCATAGATGTACTAAGTCAATTGAAAATAGATCCCAGTTAAAAATAAGAGTGGGTATGAGAGAGGAAGGAGCTGTAGCTAAAAACGTGCCATGGGACTCCAAATCCCATTTAGCTGGGTAGCACTAATCCCATCTTATGTGATAAGGTGATCATATTAAGTATGGAATTGATCATATACATAGGACCATAAGTCAAAAGGATCACATAAATAAGACCAAATGCCTGGTAATAATAATGGATTGAATTACAAAGGAGAGAAAGTTCCAACATGAGAAGCAGTCCATACAGCATACTCATAGAACGACAAACACCCTAAACAGCACTCTGACCTCAGAATCAGCCCCTAAGGCATTCAGATCTGGCTGAAAATCCCATGAGAGCGTTTCAGGCATGGAAAGCCAAGACCCTGTGGCAAAACAGTTCTGCATGAAAGAACTCTGAGTGAGACCCCAGGGGAAAGAACGGGCCATCATAGAAGGAGGTTCCTTTCTCTGAAGGAAGGAGAGAACTTCCACTTTGCATATAGCCCTGTCTAAAAACCGACAGTTTGTGGACTCAAAAGGCTTCCATAGCCTTGGCAGCTCACGTCAGTAGCCTCCGTGCTCATTGACCACGCTAATGGCACACTCTTGGCTACATGGCAGGCCCAGTGCCAGGCCCTGGGGTACATTCAGCTCTCACAGCCATCTTGGTGAGGGATAAAATGAATCATATTTTGTAAGATAATTAGAATGGCTTTATAGTGTTCAGGTAGAAAAGCATTCAAGACTTCACAGGGGGTGTTAACACTGATCACACATGGCAGTGTTTTGAAAAAAACAGTTGTCTTAGATTTAAATGAACTTGAATTTTTTGGCATTCAAAATGGAAGATCGCAAATCTGTGAAAAGTTTTTTTTTAATGTATTTATTTGTTTGAAAGGCAGAATATGTGTGTGTGTGAGAGAGAGAGAGAGAGAGAGAGAGAGAGAGATTGTGGGGAGCAACTGAAACTAGACTAAGTTACTGGAATTAAGACTTATTCTATGCATCTGCTCTCCCACAATATGGCGCTGAGAGGGAGCAAACAACCTCTACGGAGCTGCCTCATCAGTTTGACTGATAAGCTGCAGGAGCTGATCCTGCTCCTGATTGGAGGAGAGCAGCATGCTCGGCGTGTGGGTAGCAGAGTTGGGATTGGTGGAAGAGGACTATAAAGGAGGAGAGAGACAACATGCACCAGGAATATCTAAGGGGAACATCCAGATAACATCTGAGCAGCCCCCAAGAGAGCCGGCCGGCGGTGTGCTGCTCCTCCGTGGAAGCCGGGAAAGCGGCGGGGGGTGCGGCCCCTCCACCTGCAGCTAACCCGGGACGGCGTCGTTCCTCCGCGAGTGAGGGACCAGCAGCTAACCCAGGAAGGGCTGAGCAGACAAAAGAACAGCGCAGGGTCTAGTGTCGTTCCTCCGCGAATGGGGGAGCGACAGAGATTTTCCATCTTCCAGTTTATTCCTCGATTGACTGCAACAACCAGAGCTGCTCCAGGCCAAAGCCAAGAGCCCAGAACTCCCCTTGCATCTTCCAGATGTGTGGCAGGGGCTCAAGCACTTGGGCCACCCTCTGTTGCTTGTCCAGGTGCATTAGTGGGATGAGAAGCAAAGTGGCTGAGACTTGAATCGATACTGATGTGGACGGGCTGCCAGTATGGCAAGCACTAACTTAGCCCACTGCACCACGATGCTGGAGCCCGTGTCCAGCATTCTTACCTACCACTGAGCACAGAACTAAAGGCTGCCCAGGTGAGGAAGCCCAGTGGTCACTGCCTTCAAGAGCTGGCCCCAGGCAGTGCTCATCTCTTCCCAGGCTCTTTGTGCCTTTGAAAGTCTTCCATGTGTTGGCCGGCACCACAGCTCACTAGGCTAATCCTCCGCCTGTGGCGCCGGCACCCCAGGTTCTAGTCCCAGTCGGGGCACCAAATTCTGTCCTGGTTGCTCCTCTTCCAGTCCAGCTCTCTGCTGTGGCCCGGGAAGGCAGTGGAGGATGGCCCAAGTGCTTGGGCCCTGCACCTGCATGGGAGACCAGGAAGAAGCTCCTGGCTCCTGGCTCCTGGCTTCGGGCCGTGCCGGCCATATTGGCCATTTGGGGGGTGAACCAACGGAAGGAAGACCTCTCTCTCTCTCTCTCTCTCTCTCTCTCTCTCTCTCTCTCTCTTTCTCTCTCTTTCTCTCTCTCTCCCTGTCTAACTCTGCCTGTCAAAAAAAAAGTCTTCCATGTGAAACCAAGTGTGATGATAAAAAGTTGATATCATACATGCTGGTGTTGACACCCAAGAAAATAGGAGAACTGGGGCCTTAGGGCTTCTTTTTTAAAATCCATTTATATAAGGAAGTATATAAGCAGGTAAAGCCACTGCCTGCAGTGCTGGCATCCCATATGGGCACTGGCTTGAGTCCAGGCTGCTCCACTTCCGATCCAGCTCTATGCTATGGCCTGGGAAAGCAGTAGAAGATGGTCCAAGTCCTTGGGCCCCTGCACCCATGTGGGAGACTCGGAAGAAGCTCCTGGCTCCTGGCTTCAGATTGGCGCATCTCTGGCCATTGTGACCATCTGGGGAGTGAACCAGCAGATGGAAGATTTCTCTCCCCCCCGCCTTTGCCTCTGCCTCTCTGTAATTCTGCTTTTCAAATGAAATAAATAAGTCTGGGGAAAAAAAAGAAGCAGAGAAGAAACTCTGGTCTACTGATTCAGTCCCCAAATGCCCACAGTGGCCAAAACTCAACCCAGGTCTCCTATTTGTGGTCACGGTTTTATCTTCAGTGAGACAGCCCACTGCCAGGGGCTGAGCAGGGGATCCATAACCTTCTAACATTCAAGGAGCCTCGTGCAGAGTTTGTGTCTCTGGTGTTCATACGTTAGGTCAACAGTGTTGGAGCCAATGGACTGACTTTATGATCTCATGGGAAAGATTTCACTGTGTGAAATGGTTACTAATTGGAGCTGGTGCTGTGGCATGGCATGTTAAAATGCTGCTTGCAAGCCTGCATCCCATATGGCTGCTGGTTTTCATCCCAGCTGCTCCACTTCCCATCCAGCTCCCTGCTAATGGCCTGGGAAAACAGCAGAAGATGGCACAAGGTCTAGGACCCCTGCGTTCATGTGGGAGACCTGGAAGAGGTTCCTGGCTGCTGGCTTTGGCCTGGCCCAGCCCTGGGCATTGTGGACATCTGGGGAGTGCACAAGCAGATGGAAGATCTCTCTCTCTCTCTCACTCACTCAAATAAAATAAATAAATTGTAAGAAATTTTCACTAATACCAGAAAACTAGTCCTAAGTTTAGGGGGTTTTTAAATGTATTTTTTCTGCATAAACATTTAATTTATAAACAATAACATTTAAGTTCAAATAGTTAGCAATGCTTCATACAAATAATAATGTGATATATGATAAAAACGTAGACACAAAATGCACACACACACATGAATACAAGCCATGGAGACTCGCTGTATTAAAGACTGATTATTAGCATCAGTGAACCCACGAAGGCTTGGCTGGAATCATGTTCTCTCCTTCCTCTGTGTTGATTGACGTAGGGAACCCAGCACTGCTATTTCAAATGTCTACTTTTCAGAGCATCTCTTGAATACGTAAAACTAAACATTGCTATTTCTAATTTGGAAATGACAGATTTTCATTAATTAAAGAATACAGAACCATCTTTTTTTATTTGAAAGACTGCCCAGTTTTAAACCCTGTCACTTTTTATTAAATTGAAATACACAGTATTTATTTATTTATTTTTGCAGAATAAAAATCACAAACCAAGATTTGGACTCTAGCTTTAAAATCTCACTCATTCCACATGACTGGGATACCAAATTCCATGCACACTGCTTCCTTGGACTGCTAACAATAGTCACATGAAAAGTCTTGCTTTTGCTTTGAGAAAAAGACAGGAGCTGTTCAGCTGTCTGTGTTCCCAGCATGGGAAGCAGTCCATACAGCAGACTCATAGAGTGACAGTCACTTTAAGAGGCACTCTGACCTCAGAATCAGCCCTTAAGGCATACAGATCTGGCTGAAAGGCCCACCAGAGCATTTCAGGCATGGAAAGCCAACACACTGTGGCAAAAAATGTCCTATATGAAGAATCTCTGTGTGTGAGACCCCAGTGGAAAGAAGCAGACATTAAAGAAGGAGGTACTTTTCTCTGAAGGGAGGGGAGAACTTCCACTTTGCTTATGACCTTGTCAAGTTAGGAGATCAAAAAGATTTCCACAGCCTAGGCAGCTCATGTCAAGAGCCTTGGGTGATCACTGATATCATACGTTAGAGTGTTAATTGTTAAATCAACGGCAAGAATCAATGTGAACTAACTTCCCATGTGGGACCTCTGTCCCCAAAGAGTCATATCATGAGAGTTAATAGTAAAACTTGTTCTCAAATGTATTAAGTGGAGGGTATTCTTATGTCTCATAAATTATAGTTATGTCTAAGAGCTGCCAAAAGATGTGTCATTCTTGGGTTCTTCTTTAAAGCTAACTAAGTTTCTAAAAGGAAAGAAGGGGAGGAAGAAAAGGAAGAGGAAGGGAAAAAAAAGTGAGATAACTTTCTAGATGCAATAACTTTGAACAGGCCTTGTCCTCACTGTAGGGGAACAGGGTTTTTTTCTTTTCTTTTATTTTTCTTTCTCAGACTAAGTGTTGAAGTCTTTACCTAGAGTAGAGTTAATCCCCTGCATATAAAGCTAAATGAAGATAGATCTTGGTGAAGGACAGGACAAGGAACAGGAGAGGGAAGAGGATGAGGGGTGGGAGGGTGGGTACAGTGGGAAGAATGACTAGGTTCCTGATGTTGTATTTATGAGGGGCATGAAAATAAATAAGAAAATAAAAAATAAGAGGACTCAGTACAACATAGACCTGTGGAACTTACAAGCAGAGAACCTGAAGCACGTGTTGAATTGATCTTGGCAGAGGTAATGACTTTTTGATTTGCACAAGCCATTGTATGGGTTGTGTATGCTTGCACACTCGTGGGCCTAGAACACAACTTCTCATCTGAGTATATTGTTCAGTGCCTTTGATTTTGTTTTCCTTTTATTGAACCATTGCATCTTTTAATAACAGTTTCTAACTCATGTGATCTTGAACTTCCGACAGGCAGTGGAAAACGGAGCCTCCAGTTGTGAGGACAGTGGATAGGAAAGCAATTACAAGTGATCACACTTGTGTTTTCTCAGGTCAAGCTCATGCCTCCTGCTCCAAACGATGACCTGGCAACACTCAGTGAGCTGACGGATGGGAGCCTGCTCTATGAGATTCAGAAGCGCTTTGGGAACGATCAGATCTACGTGAGTGCCTTGTTGCCTTTTGCACGGCTTTTGTCTTGCCAGTATTTTCACCTCCCTTCCAGGTTGCAAACATTGCAAGGAAAGGGTCCCTGGGGGCTCCTGGTCCTGTGAACACTGAGACTCCAGGTCTCGTCTCAGCAAGGTTCCCGATTTTGGATTTGAGAGCGAGAGCTAATCGCATGCGAGGACTCGCTGCTGTTAAGCGTCCCTGTTGGGGGGTTTGCTGTGGAAGACCTGACTGGAACCCGCAGCATCTGCCCCTCACTTGTATAAATGCTGCCTCCCTCATCAGCTTCACTGTAGCCTGTTCCGTGTGGAACAGGAAGCTAAAGCAGACACAGGTGGAGGTGGCCGTGCCTGTGTATTTGTGCGGAGGAACTGTTGTTGCTCTAAATGATCAGGAAACATCTTTGTAAGGTGAATAATTTATGCACAGATCTCTGATAATAAGCTGCAAAAATATCAGATGACAAACAGCATGAAGAATTAATTTACTGTGGCTCAATCCAATACTGTTAATTTAGACAATCTGTTATCTCAATATCAAGCTCCCTCTCTCTCTCGTTGATTTTGTTAGATTCTACACACAGCACAGAGCAATTCAATCAGAATGTCTATTGGGAAATCTGATTATGCACATAACTTGCTATCTCTTTTTGATAACATCATTTTTTCTTGTCTATTGAGAAATTGATTAAGTAATTTTCATGTAAATGTGAAGTCTTGAGATTTCCTTAAGAGTAATAAATTGTCAGAGGTTGATTAGCCTTATGAAAATGCAATACAGCATCTTAATGCTTGGATAAATGGCCTGTCACCATAAATACACTTAAAATTAAATACTTCTATCAAAATTAATGAATTTGAGTCTTTGGCATGAAATGCTGAAAGCAGAGTACCTGGGGGCTCTGTTGCCACCCGGCAAGTCTTGAGAAGTGTGCGTTGTTTTATCCCGTTTTCTCGTCTGGTCCCAGCGTCATGTTGGCGCTTGTTCTGCCCTTTCTGAGTCCTGGAAGACCGCAGTCCTGGAGGACGGCTGGAATTGTTTTGCATTTCTTCATCCCATTCATGCCTTCCCCCGGCTTTCTCTCCTGAGCGTGCATTCGGTCCACTTCTCTGCCCCTCCTGTCCGGCACCCTCACCCCAGCCACCGTCGTCTCCAGCAGAATCCTGACTTCCTGGAGGAGGTGGCCTTCCTTCAATCCAATCTCACCGTGAACAGCTAGTGTTTACAAAGCACAAGTGTGTCTTCAAACCTCCCACGCTAAGTCTCCCCTGAGCCGTTCCTCTCGGGAGGAATCCAGAATCCTTGCTGTGGAGGCCAGAATCTTGACGATGAGATTCCCAGGGCTGGGCCCCTGGCCGCAGGCACCAGGGACTCCTGAACACTTGTGTCGCTCCCCCTCTTCGTGGAGGAACGACACTGGACCCTGCGCTGTTCTTTCGTCTGCTCGGCCCTCCCCGGGTTTGCTGCTGGTTCTTCCCGGGTTGGCTACTATCCCTTCCACCTCCGTGGAAGGGCAGTTCCCCCTGGCCGCATTCCCCACTTCCGCAGGGGAGCGGCACACCGCCGGCCGGCTCTCTCGGGGGCTGCACGGGTTCCCTTAGATGTTCCCCATAGATGTTCCCGGTGTATGCCGTCTCTCTCCTCCTTTATAGTCCTCCTCCGCCAATCCCAACTCGGCTGCTCACACGCCGAGTACGCTGCTCTCCAATCAGGAGCAAGTCCTACAGTTTATTAGTTGAACTGGAGGCAGCTGTGCGGAAGCTGTTTACTTCTCTCCCAACGCCATGTTGTGGGAGAGCAGATGCATAGAATAAGTCTTAATTCCAGTAACTTAGTCTAGTCCGAGCTGCTCCCCACAGAGGAGAGCAGATGCATAGAATAAGTCTTAATTCCAGTAACTTAGTCTAGTCCGAGCTGCTCCCCACAACTTGATCTCAACTGTGTGACCGGCACCCTGCTCTCTGCTTAGGGGGCTTTCCCGAGACTGGTCTTCTGTCCCCCCAAGTTCTGGCTCTACCTCCAGGAAGTACGGCGTACAAACCCCCTGCTGAGTTTTCTCATCTGCATGTCAACCTCCCTGGGGCATCCCGGCTGGTCATGGAGCCATTCTCTGGTGTCCTTATCCCGACTTTTGATTCTGTACATCATCAAGTCGTGGTTGACAACAGGCTCCCTCACAGCTGAGCCTTAACTGCCCGCCATTCTTATCGGGAGGCCTGGCAGGTGCTCTCCGATCGTAAATGACAAGTCTAGCAGGGTCCCGACTGTCTCCATGGGTACCTTTTCTCCACCCACTGCCTCTCGGTGTCTAGATCATCAGAATTTAGTATCTTCTGCTTGCTAACGTTGACCTAAAATATCACCTGCCACTGTGCGAGTTGTGGTTTTCCTCACTCCCATTCCTGAAAAACTAAGGAACTAAACCCTCTAGGACTGATGTGGTTGCGGGAATGTCCTATGTTATGGTGGCCAACACACAGAAGAGAATGTAAACCTTATGGATTGAAGAGTAAGGGCTGCTCAGGGGTCATCTGACTGGTGGGCACAGAACTGTTTACAGCCAGTCTGTGAGGAGATTAAGAAGAGTTTTAAGAAACGCTTAAAGCAAGTTGATATTTAACTTCTGTCTGTTAGAACGAGTAAGAATCAGAGGTTGCAGTTTGTCTTTGTCCTTTTGCAGGCTCATTTTCTAGTAATTCACGTATAATGTGTTTTGTGAAAGTTTTAGTCCACGATTCATTGAAGCTAAAAGCAGGTGTTATTTTCCCACCAACAGAGAAGCACTGGGTTAGTGGGTATCTCAAATCCTAATGCTCAAGTGTGGTCACTTGAGCTCCTCCGACCTCCTCCTCCCAGCCAGTCCCATGTGGGTCTTCTCAGGCCCACATTTGGAAAGAGCACTGGTGCTGCTATGTCTCCCCAGTGCGACTCAGGTTTCCCTATGGAGCTCATCTGCCCTACCTTCAGGATAAATGCCAGATACCACGTCCACCACCGCCTCCAGGCTCAGGCCTTCCTGTAGTGGCTGCATTGTGCACTGGCCTTCAAAGGAAGCAATGGCTTCTCTTGCCCGGCCTCCCAACCATCTGCAGGCAGGAGCCTCCATGGCTCCGTTAGAATAGCCATTGTGTCGGTCAGCGCTCTGCTGCTAGGACATCCTGCTTGCTCAGGGCCAGGGCTGGAAGAAAGGTCCCCAGGACTGGACCTGGGCCTCCTGCCCATTGCCTTTCCCACGCCAGGGGCTTCAGTGTCCCTTAACTTCTGCAACAGCCCTGCTGGTCACTTTGGTGTCCCAGGAGCATGGCCAGGACTTCTGTGCATCCGCTGCCCATAGCTTGGCTGCTGAGTGCCCAGTACTCCCTGTCTCCTTCAGGTGTTTGTGCCAGAGTCCTGGCTCATGGAAACTGCACGTTGGCCTTTGAAAACTGACGTGATCTCAAATGTTCTTGTCCCCTTGGCTCATGCGTCTTCCCCAGAGATGTATCGCCCTATAGAATCCTGCATGTTTCCTTCCGTGGGTTCACTATCGTCTGCCCCTCCTGACATGCACACACACAAGCACTTATGCATGCCAGCGTGCACACAGAGCCCTGATGACACCAGGCAAAATGCAAGCTCTATGAAGGCAAAAGTTGCTGTTTTCACTTCTGTGTCCATAACACAGAATATGTGCCCCAGAAATACGGAGCAGCTCGCCCTCTTAGCCAAATACTCTTTTTAGCACAAGAGAAGTCAACATGCTACTGTCCGTGTCAAATGCTGGAGGCTGGGTTGAGTGATAACCTCCATGGTGGCCAACATAAATCATTTCAGCTGCATAGTTTGAGCAGCGTTTCCACCTCACGCTTGCTGCCATCTGACTTGTTATCTAAGGTGATGTTTCCAAACAAACTGTCCATTGCTGTTTTACTAAGCGTATAGCATTCCGATTGGACCTCAAGTGGGGGAGTTCGCACAGGTCTGGAGCAGAAGGCAGCTCCGACATCTCCAGACAGAAAACGTGCTGTAGGGAGTGGGGCACCTGCTTGCAGGGGAGCGCACAGAACAGAGCCCTGCGTCCCCTGGGAAATGCGTGCAGCAGCACCAGCGAGAGCAGAGAAGGCAATGTGATTCCTTCACGGACTACAGGGAAGCTGTGGGGCAGCGTCCCCTGGGTGCACACTTGAGATTAGTGAAGCAGAAGCTACAAAATAACCACGGGTGTCTGCGCAGCTTCCGCTCAGCAGGAATGTTCTAGAGCCCACCTGGTGGCACTGAGCGAGCCCAGGTAAGGAGAGCAGAGCCCGAGAGCTTCTAGCACCCCGCCTGGCTCACGTCAACCCTGTTAGTGACCACCCAGGGCGGCCATGTGGATGGAGCTGGTCCCTTTGTCACGAGCGCTTCAAGAAGACGAAAGCTGTCAAGTTAGTGTCTGAGGTTGAGCTTTCCCTCACTTCACCGTGTGGATGGAGAGGCGTCTGCCCTGTATCACTGCCCCACATCTGGGACGGGATAAGCTCTGCTGTGCCACATCCGCCATATTGTCACCTACGACTCCACTCACTGGAAAGAGCTTCCAAACCCTGAATACACATACACTTTTTGGGGGAACGTAATGTATTAGAATGAAGAGGTGAAGGAACCATCCAGGTGTGTTCACAGTTGGACATTTTTCCTCTGTGTCGTACATTTATGTTGTTTTGTTTCATTAAAACGGCCTCTTCAGTTTTGAAGACTTACACGCGAGTGCTTCAAAATGTTCCTGGAAAAAGAGAATTGAAAGCGAAGTTTATTTGATGCAAAATCTTTTAAGTTCAAATGTATGTGAGGTCTAAAAAAATAGTCCGCACATTATGAAAAAAATCATATCATGGATTTTTGACATTTTTTACACAAAAGTGAGATTATATTTTCCATGAAATTCTTGGAGTCCACTTGTACAATAAAATATTTATTTCCCTTCTCCCATGATCAGGGAGTGTGCCCTGTGTGCCACACATCCTTTCAATTTAGTGAAAATGATCTGTGTTCCGTTAGAATGAGGGACATTCAGCTGTCGTCAGTGACACTGTCACACATTAGTCGATGAAATCGAAGCTTGTCCTGTGATTTACATAGGAAAAATGCAAACTTCCCCACCATCCCTGTGAACTTGTGTTTTTCTCCGTCTAGCTCTTTTATCTGAATGCATTTGATGGCAAACTTTAGTCTCATGGACATTTAGAATGACTAATTCTGATTGAACTCTTTTCCAGGCTTTAAATTTTTCTATTAAAGGTGTTTGTCTTTAAACAGCTATGTATTTAGTATTTTAATCTAGTTTATAATCTTTGTCTTTTAATTAGAATATTATTATCTTAACCTGTGATGCAGTTACTGATGTATTTGCATCTAAATCTATTATTTTGTTATTTTTATTTTTTATCTATATATCTCATTATATCTCATTATTTGTTCATTTAAAATATTTATTTTATTTTTATGCCTAGATAACTTCCATTATGTGGGTTTTTATTATTATATGGTAACATAATATGCTTAGCTCAAATCACTTCTTCCTGTATATTTTGTTTTATAGTCTCAGTTGGACAAATTGCCATATGTTTAATTGGTACTAAAATGTAACTTAAAGATTTATTTTATCTACTTGAAAGGCAGAGTGACAGAGAGAGGGGGAGAGAAAGAAAAAGAGATCTTCTGTCCTCTGGTTTACTTCTCAAATGGCCACAATGACTGGTGCTGCACCAGGCCAAAACCAGGAGCCTGGAACGCCATCCAGGTCTCCCACGTGAGTGCAGGAGCACAAGCACTTGGGCCATCTTCCACTGCTTCCTAAGCCCACTAGCAGGGAGCTGGATTGGAAGTGCAGCAGCCAGGACTCAAATTGTGCTGCTTTGGATCGCTGGTGCTGCAGTCACCCCCTGCGTCACAATGCTGGTCCTAATCTTTTATTCAGTCTTGCATTCAGGAAATCCCTTTAAGATAAATTTTTAGAATCGAACCATTACCAGGGCCAGTGCTGTGGCTCAGTAGGTTAATCCTCTGCCTGTGTTGTTAGCATCCCATATGTGCGCCAGTTCTAGTCCCAGCTGCTCCTCTTCCAATCCAGTTCTCTGCTGTGGCGGGAGAGCGGTGGAGGATGGCCCAGATGCTTGGGCCCTGCACCTGTGTGGGAGATACGGAAGAAGCTCCTGGATCCTGGCTTTAGATCGGCACAGCTCCAGCCGTTGTGGCCAATTGTGGAGTGAACCAGCAGATGGTAGATTTCTGTCTCTCCTTCTCACCGTCTGTAACTCTCTCTTACATAAATAAATAAAATCTTAAAGAATCAAACCATTTCCTGTTATATGTTTATTGGAACAAAGCCTATTTGCTTTAATCCATTTGTATTTGACTTATCTTTATCTTTTCATTACAAACTTTTGAAACAATTTTCAAAATTTTAAAGTGTGATTTTTTTTACTTCTGTTTTTAACAATTTTTAAAATGTAAGTTTTTAGTTTTTAAAAGTGCTATTCATAAGATTCATGAATTATTTACTTCTTTATCAACAGACTTTCATTGGGGACGTCCTGTTGCTTGTCAACCCATTCAAGGAGCTTCCCATTTATTCTAACCTGGTGAGTACAAAGTCACAGTAGCATTTACCCACACAGAATACAGACTGTCCCTCAGGAAGCAGAGGGATTTGTATCTGACGACTCATTACAAAGGCAAAGCAAAATAATAAGTGAGCTCAGGGGCCGGCATTGTGGTGTTGCAGGTAAAGCTGCTGCCTGCACTGCCAGCATCCTACATGGGTGCCGGTTCAAGTCCCAGCTGCTCCACTTCCCATCCAGCTCCCTGCTAATGGCCTAGGAAAGCAGTGGAAGATGGCCCAAGTGCTTGGACCCCTGAACCCATGAGGGAGACCCAGATGAAGCTCCTGGCTCCTGGCTTAAGCCTGGCACAGCCTTGGCCATTGCATCCACCTGGGGAGTAAACCAGCAGATGGAAGATCTGTCTCTCTGACTTCCAAATGCAAAATAATAATAATAATAAATAAGTGAGCTCAAATTTTTCAGAAAATTTTTAATATTCTAAATGGAATAGTTGCATGACAGTGACTTGGATTTCTTAGGCAGCTTTGCAAATCAGAGTATTTTATCAAAAGTTTCCTTTACAGTAACTATAATTTTTCTGTAATTGTCACGAGGCAGGATTCTAAAATTCTGTAACATATAACAGTGTTTCCCATACTGTTGTGAGTGATTCAGTTGATATGGAGCCCCCATTTGAACACAATTTCTTTCAGAAGCAGTGTGGGTAAAGCAGGGTGACACCCCACCTGACCCTTTTACCAGATAACTTCCCATTTCTAGTTGTGACACCCTCAAAATCAAAGGAAGTATTGCTTGTGGAAAATTACTCCAGCCGACAGCACAGGGTGAGCCAACACTCGTGGGAGCACTCCGAGTTGTGGGGAAGCCCAGGGCTACTCCAAGCGATGCAGGATCTCTAACGTCACCCAGCAGGAGACGGGATGTGCACCGGGCTCCTGAAACACAGCTGTGCTCACGGAGGCTTGGGGGGTGTGGATGGAGAGGAGAGGAGAGACACAGAGACAGAGATTGATGACTTGATGACTAAGTCCTCGCACGAATAGCTCCTGGGAACCAGAGAATGCCCCTCCTTCCTGTACTCTCACCATCCAGTGTCTGTACCACGTGACTTTAAAACTGTATTGAGATTTGCCCACTACGCTCATCCTGCCCAGTCCTACCCCAATGCTACCCTAGCCTCAGCCTCTGGCAGCCAAGCAGAGCAAGGCAAGGGGGCTCCCCCGCAGCCGCTCCTGCAGTTAAAACCCGGGAACGAAGTTCGTCTGCCGTGCGGCTCTTACAGGTTTTGAGGGAGAACTCATTGCCATGCCCATCACTTTGCTGCTGAGTCAAGACTAATATTTGCATAAAATGTTTATTCAGGCATAATATAAACATTGTACAGAGTACAAATAGTAAGTGTCCCATTCAACTAATTTATACAGCGTGATAGCACTCTTGCAGCCATCATGCAGGTAAAGAAATAGGACATCGGTAGCTCTCAGATGTCTTTCCCAGGCCACCTCAATAGAGACACCCTGATCCCACAGGGCCAGGTCACAGGTCACCAGGTCACAGGGCTGCTGTCACCCTGTGGACGGACAGAATTTGTAACAGTAGAACCTTAAAGAAGAGCTTTCTCTGGATCTGGCTTCTTTCTCCCACTAGTTTGGGGGGAGATTCATCCGTGATTTTGCATGGAGCTATCCAGTCAGTGCACGGGGATTCTTGCATCACTGTTTAAAAATCCCTTCTGTGGATAAACGGCAGGTTAATTATCGTGGGAGGCTGTTGGCTTCTGTGAGTGTTTTTACCCATCTCTTGGCTATCCAAGGTGGAATTTCCAAATCAATGTGTGTAGTTTGGCAAATGGCAACAGCTTTCTAAGTGAGTGTCCTGCTGTGCGCTCCCACAATAGAATACAGAAACTCCAAGTGTTTGCCTCTTTTGCCTACAATTAATTCATTGTGTTTGTCCATTTATCATTCTACTGGGTATATATCAAGAGTGACAGAGAGGAGAGAGATACAGGGAGAGATCTTCCATCTGCTGGTTCACGCCCCAGATGGCTACAATGAATGGCTGGGGTTGGACCAGGATGAAACCAGGAGCCCAGCACTTCATGAGTCTCCCACACAAGTGGCAGGGGCCCAGGTACTTGGGCCATCTTCCACTGCTTTCCCAGCTGTATGAGCAGAGAGATAGGTCAGAAGCAGAGTGGCTGGGACTTGAACCATGCTCCGATGCAGGATGCTGGCATTGCAAGCCATAGGTTTACCCATTGTGCCGCAGCAGCAGCCACAAGCATGTAGTTTTTCCTTGCTCTTGTCTGCAAGGTGCATCCCTCCCAGGCATCAGGTGATAGGTTGCAGGATGTCCATCTGTCTTTCCATCATGGCTGAGCCCTGCATCCCTGTCCCCCCAGGGCTAAAGTCACTTAGCTTTCCCAATACCCTCCTTTGCTTTCTCTGAGGCCGCCGAGTTTTACACAGAAAAGTGACAATGCAGGCAGAAGAACGAACCCGAGAAGACCCTTCTTGGCTCAGCACACATTGATATTCTTCAAGTTCTCAGCTTCTGACTTCCAGGTTGCTTTTGTGGTTTCCCAAGGCACAGTTAGATGGTTAAGTTGCACTTTACCTGGTATTTGCCGTTATTCATGGTGAGAGAAAGAGACTGACTGCAGCTTCATGATAGCCACAGGGTAAAGTAGACCATATCTACTTTTTAAAATATTTATTTTATTTGGAAGGCAGAGTGACAGAGAACGAGACAGAAAGAGAGAGAGCTTGTATCCACCGATTTACTCTCCAAATACACCCAATAGCCAGAGCCAGGAAGTCCGTCCGGGTCTCCCAGGCGGGTGACAGGGACCTCAGTACTGGAGCCGTGGTCTGCTGCCTCTCTGGAAAATTAGCAGGAAACTGAATCAGAGATGGGAGAGCTGGGTCTTGAACCAGGCTCTGCAGGGAGGCCTGCTGACGTCACAGTGGTGGCTTGACCTGCACCACACATGCTCCCCAGCCCCGTATACCCTACCTGTTTTTATCACTAATGTCAGAAGATCATTCTCCTTCAATGCATATGTTTGAGATTCTGTGTCCATTATTACTTAATTCCGTCTTGAGGATTGCATGGAGAGACACAGACAGTTGCTATTTAAAGTTAACTGTTAGAGGCAGGCATTGTGGTACAGCCGACTAAGACACTGTTGGGATGTCTGCGATCCCATGCCAAAGTGCCTGAGATCTTGTCCAACTCTGGCTCCTGGCTCCTGGCTTCTGCCTGGCTGTTGTGGGCATTTGGAGAGTGAACCAGCCGATGGAAGATCTCTCTCTCTCTCTCTCTCTCTCTCTCTCTGACTCTGACTCTCAAATAAATAAAATTAAATATACATTTGAAAAGATAAGTTAACCATTACTATGTGACCCCGGCTTATATTTTGTTGTCCATAGAGTTAGCAAGAATCTTACAGTGAAAGAAAACTTAGCTTTGAATACTTAGATGACAAATACGCATACATGGGTGGTGGAAACCCCATCACTTGAGCCATCACTGCTGCCTGCCAGCGTCTGCATTATCAGGAGTCTGTAGGCAGGAGCTGGAGCCTGGAATTCAGTGCAGGCACCGTGATGAGGGATGCAGGCCTCCTGACCAGCATCCTGATGGCTGGGCTAAGCAGCCACCCTGTGTTTCCTTATCCATGTAAGCATAAGATATAATAGCTTGGGATTTTTCTAGAGTAGTTGTAATATGATTAATGTAACATGTAATTCACATAATTATAAATATATAATTTATATAATTCATATATATTTTTATCACTTAAACTGAATCATAAGTTTAAATATGTGAGTATTAAATATGCATTAAGCATATATGTTTACATATTAACTATTTAACATGAATTGAATTTTAATAAACTGTCCACAAACCTGTTCACATTTATCACTCATTACATTAATCTACATTAATTTCCTACACCCTCTCTCAGCGAGTGTAGGAAAACAGATAGAAAATTAGGTCAAATGAACACTAATGGAAAGCTAACTGTGAAACTTGGTGCTTTTCTTTGGAAATTCACATCTCTTATGTAGAATCAAATAGTTGGCACTGGCCCAGTGATAATTATAGACATTGGTATTACAATGGAATTCATTTTTCTGCTGAATTACTGGGTATCCTCTGTAACAATATTAGGGCTTAAAATGTACTGTCAGCTGCTCGTGTTAAAGTGATGCCGTTGTCCTGTGTTGATTGGATGTCGGAGTCTTATTTTAAATGATACATTTGGGTCAGATATTTTGGATTCCTGCTGTGCTGATTAATTTAATAAGACTGAAATAGTGCACCAACTATGACCTTATCTACGAAGATTATGAAAGGCAGGAGGATGTCTTCTGTGCTCCATGTTTTTATAAAATTTGCAGGCAACATCTGTGTTTTGCTTTTCTTTTGTTACCATCAGCTGGGTTGGATTCAGCCTTTGCCTGACACCCGTTTCCTTCTCCAGCCATCAGTCATGGGTGTAGAGAGCCCTCCATGGTAGACTCCTGTGAACACAGGGCAGCAGGCAGCCCCCGCCCGCCCTGGGGCAGCTCAGAGCAGTGCGCTGTGACCTGACAGTCCCTGAGCAGTGACCCCACGGTGAGCAGTAGGGGTGTCTGGATGCAGGCTGACCCCCGGGAGCGGGCTTTATTATGGGATGCCCATTTATGGCAAGGAAAAGTCACATCATTCATTTTAAACTTGCAAGAGGTGGGGGGCAGAGGAGAAAGTAAAACGTGGCCGGGTCGTTCAGTCCTGGATCTACGGACAGACACTTTAATAGCGGGAGCAGGAGTGCTTGCCAAGCCGACGGGCGTCAGTTGACTGTGTTAGGTGGTTAACCATGCTGAGTGCGGGTGGCTCAGCCTAGCAACTGCACAGACATTCTGAGAACAAAATGCCAATCACAGCCAAAAATGAGCAGACTTCCTTTGCACCTGAGAACCACCCAGAGTAGCTGGGTTGATGACGTGTGCTCCAAATGGCCAGTCAGTAGCTCAGCAGGGAAAGCAACCCTGTTCTCCTTAAGAAGGGCTTTGTTGGAGCTGGTGCTGTGAATTAGCAGGTAAAGCCACCACCTGCAGTGCCAGCATCTCAGTCGGGTGCCAGTTCGAGTCCCAGCTGCTCTACTTCCGATCCAGCTCTCTGCTATGGCCTGGGAAAGCAGTGGAAGATGGTCCAAGTCCTTGGGCCCTGCACCCACATGGGAGACCCAGAAGAAGCTCCTGGCTCCTGGCTTCAGATTGGTGCAGCTCCAGCCATTGTAGCCATTTGGGGAGTGAACCAGTGGATGGAAGACCTCTCTCTCTCTCTCTCTCTCTCTCTCTCTCTCTCTCTCTGTGTAACTCTTTCAAATAAATAAATCTTTAAAAATATTTCTTTCCTTTATAAACCAGCAATTTAAAACTGACATAAGATGTGCAAATGGACAGCACAAATGCCTTTTTTTCTCGGCTGTTTAAATGGCTTGCTGGTGTGTGGGCCCATCAACTTCGAATAGGCTTTCTGAGTGTTTCTGGACATCACAAAGCCTTGACAATCAGGACAGTCGCCTACAGTCCAGATGCCCCCATCCTAGAGATGCTCACCCCGCCAGAGGTTCAGGCCAATTTCCCCTGCGCCGTGGCCACCCGAATCCTCACCCTCCCACACCGGGGGGCAGTGCTCCCGCCTCGCCGCCGTCTCAGCTTCACACCTGACCTCGATTTTCTGAAACAAAAAGCAAGCGTGTCCGGCATTTCCTCGTGACCCACAGTCTCTCAGTGGCTGACTTCTTCTTCCGTCACAGACTTCGCTGGAAACTCAGAGGACTGGAACACCGCCAGTGAGTCGCGTCGGCAATCCTTGCGAGTCACCACTTCCCCGAATGAAGCTGACATTTCCATTTTCCTGTCGATTTGTGGCATTTCGGCTGCAATGCCTCCTCGTGTCCCAGTTTAAAGTCCCAGCTGCCTTAGGGCATTGAAGTTGCTGAGAGAGGTCGAATGTGACGTGACTTCCAGGGTTTCCACTTTCTTTCCTGACGTCTATGAGCTGGATGTGTCTGAGTTGTGCCTAAAGCCAGCAGAGTCATTTAAAGCAGCAAGCGCTGAAAGATAAACTGTAAGGCCGGCGCCGCGGCTCACTAGGCTAATCCTCCACCTTGCGGCGCCGGCACACCAGGTTCTAGTCCTGGTCGGGGCGCCGGATTCTGTCCCGGTTGCTCCTCTTCCAGGCCAGCTCTCTGCTGTGGCCAGGGAGTGCAGTGGAGGATGGCCCAAGTGCTTGGGCCCTGCACCCCATGGGAGACCAGGAGAAGCACCTGGCTCCTGCCTTCGGATCAGCGCGGTGCGTCAGCCGAGGCGGCCATTGGAGGGTGAACCAACGGCAAAAGGAAGACCTTTCTCTCTGTCTCTCTCTCTCTTACTGTCCACTCTGCCTGTCCAAAAATAAAAATAAAAGATGCACTGTAAGCCTCCAGTTTTGTCGCTGTGCACGCCTCAGATTTGCTGAGAGGGAGAAACCTGATACTCGCTCTGTGCTGGAAGCCAGAGTCACCAGTAGATGCGCGCGCTTCTGTGCAGAGTTGGGCGGACGTCGGCGGCGTCCTGCGATTCGGGAGCCTGAGATTCTGTCTTCTCTGTCTCGCGTGGCAGGTCTCGCAGCTGTACCTGAGCGACACGGGGCGGCCGAGCCCCTCGCTGCCCCCGCACCTCTTCTCCTGCGCAGAGAGAGCCTTCCACCAGCTGTTCCAGGAGCAGCGGCCACAGAGCTTCGTCCTCAGGTGAGCCCCCGCCCGCCTCGCGCCCAGGCCGGCTCTGCGGGCCTCGCTCCCTCCACCGGCGCCGGTTCCCTTCCACGGCAGCGAGTCCGTTTGACTGACCCCTTAGGATGGGCCCGTGGCTTGGCTGCTGGAAGCAGCCCCAGGTGGGTCTGGATCAGTAGCCACAGCTTCGGGTTTGAGGATTCCAGGCGGACCCGCAGTGTTTCTGGTTTCAGAGTCGGGAAAGCGTCCCGGGGCGGTGGGGGGGGGGGGGGGGGCCTGGAAACCTGCTGCTGCCCGACATGGAATTTCACTTCTTCATGACAGGGTGCGTTCCCGCCCCACGTCTAGGTTTTTCCCAAGCTCATGGTCCAACAGATTATTCCCCCATAGATATGTTGACTTTAGATTGCAAACCTTAAAATGCCCAGAAGGGTGATTTACCACAATTCTCCAAAGACCAAAGTGTACAACGAGGAATGGGAGGGGGCACCTGCATCCTTGCATGGCGGGTAAGGCCGCCACCTGAGACACCCATATGGGCGCCGGTTCAAGGCCCTGCTGCTCCACTTTCAACCCAGCTCCCTGCTCATGGCCTGGAAGCAGTGGAAGACGGCCCGAGTACTTGGGCCCCTGCCACTCAAATGCCGCATCAAAGACCTGGATGAAGCTCCTGGCTTTGTCTTGGCCAGCCCAGGCTGTTGGAGCCATGCGGGAGTGAACCAGTAGATGGAAGATCTCTCTCTTTCTGTCCCCCCTCTTTCAAATAAATATTAACAAAAAAGAACTAGGAGTGAAATGTGAAGATATATTGATAGAAGGTTGAAGAAATACTTAAGTATTAACATAGGGAATGCATTAGGAAATTATGATTCATTTTAAGCCAAATCTCAGCTAAAGGAAAACTTCTGTTGATACAAATGGCTTTTCCTTCCCATTTGTTGGAAACTGGGCCCATAAATCAAGTAAAAGTGAAATAAAAAACAGAGTAAAGATAGAACCCGGATAGAAACTTGGATAGACTTGGGTATGTAAACGCGTGCTGACGTGGTTGCTTTCATGGAACTGATTCTATAGAATGCCCATGTCCACAGAGGCTGAGACTGATGGGTGTGAGCTTCAGGGTTCACCGTGGGGAGCATCGGCTGTCCCCAGCACCCCAGGGATCAGAGGGCCTCTGTGGGGGTCTCCACCCATGCCTCTGTATGTCTGCTTTATTGATTGAGTTCTCTGGTCTTTGCTAAAAAGAGAAACACTTTCTAAAAACTGAGGGGGCTGCACAGTGGTGTTGACAGTCATGCCGACTAATATTCACTGGGAGCTCACCTCGTGCAGAGCCTGGGCCAGGTGCGTCCTGTTCAGCCCTGCTCCCCTTCTGTAGGTATGAGACTGGGGGTGTTGCTGTTACAATGGTGATGAAAGTGATCTTTAACACCATCTATGTGACAGGCGACTGGCAGAGGGTTACCTCCATACTCAGGGTCTCAAGGAGTAGCAAATAGTGGGTGTGGTGTGTGAGCTCAAGGCTGGCATCTGAACCCCAATGAAGCTGGCTACTGGCACAGCCAGACAGCATCCACAGCTGGCCTCCTGCAGCTCAGACGCGGGGACACGAGACATTCTGTGCCAGTCAGCCCTGACATGGCGGCACCACGTGTCTGGATATGCTTGCATTCTCATGGAATCCACCTGATTCTAAAGCAGACCGTCCAGCTGTCACTCCTGAGGTGTTAAAATCATCAGCACCTAGCCAGGCTCTAAGGGGGAAGAAGGAGGCCATGGGTGGACGTCCCCTGGGAGCCCGCCCATTCCCCAGCGCGCCGTGTGCAGCTGCTTCTTGCAGGAAAGGAACGTCTTCTCTTCATTTAGCCCCATGATTTCTCTGTGTATCTGCTCCTGGATTGTTCTTTCCAGTAGGACTTGTTATGTTCTGTTCCTTTGGAGCATTTTTTAAGGCTAAATAAATAATGCCGCATAGCAATCACTTCTTTTGAAAAAAATACTTACTCATTCAGATTTTAAGAAAGCGCTACCTCAGCCGGTGCCGCGGCTCACTAGGCTAACCCTCCGCCTAGCGGCGCCGGCACACCAGGTTCTAGTCCCGGTCGGGGCGCCGGATTCTGTCCCGGTTGCCCCTCTTCCAGGCCAGCTCTCTGCTGTGGCCAGGGAGTGCAGTGGAGGATGGCCCAAGTGCTTGGGCCCTGCACCCCATGGGAGACCAGGAGAAGCTCCTGGCTCCTGGCATCTGATCAGCGCGGTGGTCAGCCGCGGCAGCCATTGGAGGGTGAACCAACGGCAAAGGAAGACCTTTCTCTCTGTCTCTCTCTCTCACTGTCCACTCTGCCTGTCAAAAAATAAAAAAAAAATAAAAATAAAAATAAAAATAAAAATAAAAAAGAAAGAAAGTGCTACCTCATGCTGGGATAGAATTAAGGAACACCCTTGAGACCCCAAGATGGAATATTCTGGTCCTTTTTCTCTTTCAGAATTGGGTGATTCTAGGTAGCCTTGCCAGCTCCTTGATGGTTTTGAGTAAGACACAGGCTGTCCCCATTGGTACTAACGTAGAACCTGTTTATGGGTCATTTACTGAGTACTCACTGCAACCCACTAACTGCATTCACAGAGGGTGATTCAAGATTTGGTGATCAAAACTCAAATATTCCTGTAATGGATGCCCCATAACTTGGTACAAGACTAGAAAAATTTGAATTTTATTTCCAAATTTTAATTTCATTTTGTTAATAATTTTGAGCCCCAGTGATCAAAAACCTGCAGGCCAGCACAAATGAGAGAAACTCTTGAACAACTTATAGTTACATATCACCATTTTTTTCTGGCAAGCATTCTTTTACCTCTCACTGGTGCCAGTGTTTCAAGGCAAAAAGCTGTCAGAAAAAGGCTGCGGTCATTTTTTTTCTTTTTTGGTTATCAGATAAGTAAAGAACATTTTTATGAGCTTTGCATCTGAATGCAGTAATGACTTTACTATATATCAGACCACTGTAGTGTAGTAACTGTCACAGCAGAATTCTGTGTTAATCCTGTGTCACACAGTGTCTGAAATGCAACAGTTGACATTGGTAGGAATGAGATCAGTTAATATATGGTGCCCAGGAAGTAGCAAAGGCGTTGTCCCATACATAACAAGTGTAGTCTGTGTCCCTAGGTGAGGGACGCATGGGGAACACGGGAAGTCAGCGCTGAGAGCCGCCTGGGAAGGGGACGGAGAAAGAGCTGGTTTAGGATGGGCCAAGTGCCAGAGCCACCGCCTCCCTCTGAGGGTCCCGCCGGTGTCGTGTGTGCATTCGAGGAAGAGAGGAGTGCCCGGAAGGGACATGGCCTTTTCCGAGAGAGGCCGGGCGTGGGGCTCTGTGGTGCACACGCCTCCTTGTCGACGCGCTGGCTTTCACCTGCAAAGCTGAGGGTGACCTTCTGCTTGGCCGGGTGCCTGTGTGCCTCCCCTCGATGAGGGGGTCCTTTACTGCAAGACAGCAGGTGGCAGAGACTGCCCCCCCTTCATCTGTGGTCCCAACATCTGATGTGTGCCCGAGGCGTGGGATCTACCATCCCTTTCCAAAGTGTTTTGAATGAACGCATCAAACTGAAGAACAGACTTCAGCCATATTCTTTTTTTTTTTATGTTTAGATTTATTTATTTCTTTGCTTGAGAGGTAGAGTCAGTCAGAGAGAGGGAGAGACAGAGAGAAAGGCCTTCCAATCATTGGTTCAATCCCCAAATGGCCACAATGGCCAGAGCTGGGCCAATCCGAAGCCAGGAGCTTCTTTCGGGTCTCTCATAGAGGTGCAGGGGCCCCAGCACTTGGGCCATCTTCCGCTGCTTTCGCAGGCTATAAGCAGAGAGCTGGATTGGAAGAGGAACAGCCAGGATATGAACCAGCTCCCATAGGGGATGCCGGCATCACAGGCAGAGACTCAGCCTGCCACGCCACAGCACTGGCCCCTACCATATTCTCATGAAAACCTGCAGTCATGTTATCCCCCCATCACGGGTGTGTCTGGGAATTGGCTTTGCCTACCTGATTGTTAGACTGCTTCCACCACACCAGTCAACGTGTGTCTCTTCTCTGTCTCTCTTAGCGGAGAAAGAGGGTCTGGAAAGTCGGAAGCCAGCAAACAAATCGTGAGACACCTCGCCTGCCGCTCCAGCGCCAGCCGGGCTCTGTTTGAATCCAGGTTTAAACATGTAAGTTTCTTGTCTGCCCCAGAAGATGGGAGAATGAATTATGTCAGTGCAAGGGAAATGTCATTTACAAATAGAGGGGTCAAACTTCGAGGAAATAGAGGAAGAGAATGAGCCCGGGGATGAGTGTCTATTTACCCAAGTGCACGTTTATTTCCTTTTATGCATTAAAAATATTATGAACGTGCTCTGTCTTTGTGTTTGCTCTAAGTCGTTGGATCTAAAACACGCGATAGTGTTAGATTGTGGTTCACCTAGAAGGCGGTCTTTCTGAAGATTGGCACCCTTGTTGTCTGTGGCCTGAAAAGCAGTTAAATGATTGACAACAAATGTCAGTTTATCCAAAAGAACTGACAAGAGTAAACCTGAGTGATGTGGCTAGGTGATAAACCTTCTTCTCCCACCGTGACTTTAAATCATATTGGAAATCATGGGTGTGCTGCATTCGTACCATCTGCAGGCACCGTGTCCTGCTCCTTCAGCCACTGAACACGCGACCGGGAATCGAGAGCACACAGAGGCCTGTCGCAGGCAAGCTAAAGCCCAGGGAATTTTATACAGTGAAACTCGGAAGCTGTCAGCATGGCCCCTGCAGGTGCCTCTCTGTGCCCTGCTGCTCTTGTCTTCACACACTGCTGGCAGGTGTTGCTGGTGGGGCTTTCCCAGACCTGGGTCTGAAGAGGAGGCTCCTGCTATCTGGCTGACTGACAGGTGTGAGAAGGGACCGTAGAGAACACACAGAACGACCCTCTGTAACCAGCCACAGAAATGAGCAGCACTCAGCTGTCTGTCTCTCGGGGCCTCCACCTGTAGATCAGGTGCCCCCACATTTCTGCACTTGCTTTCACAGCTTGACCATTTTCTGATGTGTGTCCACACGGCGATCAGGGCTCACAGGGCAGCCCTGCTCCCCAGGGCCAGTCAGGACCCATGCACTTCCTCCCCAGTGCAGAGGAAGGGAGAGGGACGCCTGAGCCATGGGGAGGCCTCACTCAGTCCACAGATTCAGGCTGGAACATAGCCACACGCTGTGTAGACAGAACTCATCTCCAACCAGGCAGCCCACTATTACTGCAGGAAGTGGAGAGAGAACTTCTCGCAGTCTATCTCCCTGTAACTCGCTCGCTCAGAACCCTAGGCTGATCCTCGAAGCCCAGAGGATGAGCGACACCCAGCATTCTTCCCGACTGTGCTGTGTTGCTGTCCTGCCTCCTGGCACCGTTTGCTGGCCCTGTGGCCATGCTGAAACCACCTTGGAGGGGCATCCCTCCCAGACAGGCCATGCTGTCTTGCTCATGCATTTGCTGCTTCAGCGAGGGTCTGTGACGTGTTCCCCAATGTCTGTCCCTGGAATCCAGGGATGCCATCTTTCCCTAGGAGACCCTAGATGGTGAATAAATCCAGGGAAGCATACAATGCCTTTAGATACTTCAGCAAATCTAGGGAACATTGAGATTATCAGCCAAATCTAATAGGAATCAATGTGGGGTGTGCAGTCAGGACTCGATACGTTTGTGTGTGAATGTATGTGTGCGTGTGTGACTTATGGAACCAGCATAGCATCTTCTCATACCTGTCTGGCCCTCTGCCTTTATTACATAATTTCTCCCCTCTTTTAATAACTATCTGTTTATCTAAGAGTCGAGAAGATACACTATTCAAGCCATTTAACCTCTCAGTTCCAGAGACCATTGAATGTATGTATCAGTACTCATGTTCAGTTCCTCACACACAGCAAATGAATGCAGATTTTCCTAAATACACATCCACACGCTCTGTAGAGCAGTCCAGACAGGGATGCACACTTGTGCTCCCTCATCACCTCGGCACGGCCCAGGCTGCTGCACCACGTGCGCCGTCCGTCAGCACTTACTCAGAGTGCATTCTCACAGGTGCAGTGTGCAGCCCAAGTGCCTGATGACGATCCCCAGCCTCTAGCTGTGCACCTATTTGCAGGAAGGCCCTGGCATTTTATCTCAGGAAATCTCTGTCTCAGAATGTCAGCGTACACTGGGACGAAGCAGCTGCCCTTCTTCCAGCTCACTCCCATCATCCGTGTCATCTGAAAACTCCAAGTTTCGAAATCTAGCGATGCATCAAGCCGTGAATATTGTGCTATCGGCGTTTGTTTCTGGGTCACCTGCTCTGGCCCTGCTGGGCAGCGATTTCTACCGGGTGGTGCTTCCTGGGGAATATGCTGGAAATGTGTAGCCTCTGAATCCTCATTTAGAGATGGAAGGAGCTCATGTCTAACCCTGGAGTGGTGTTGGCCATATCTTCTACCTTTGGTTCTCTTTATCAGTCCTTAAAATCTAAGCATGCTCTAACAGATTCCTAAGATAATGGCTGATTCCGGAGACTGTCCCTTTAAGACTCACTTACAATAAATAGTTTGACACCTGTCTCTATGGCTTCATATGAGACTATTGCTGACTTTAATTTACTTCCATCTTTAAGGCCGTCCTATATTGAGCACTTGCATAATTCTGCTCAAAATATTTTAACATGTTGAGATAATGTGTGAAGAACAGAGTAACCTCTCCTGCTTCACATAGAATACACTGACAACTACTCTCTAATGTTTAGAGCGTGCATAAAACAAGGTCACAGATCCTGTTGACATAACTGTGGTGACAAGGAACAATGGTTCTCCCTCTAAATTGCAGACTAAAATATTCATTCATTAAAAAGATTGTGAGAGTACAAGCTATGTACATAATCTCTAATAGGCACTCTAGATTATGTAAATTGGCTTTGTATTTTACTTTAGGTGAATGTATTCTAGTTTGCATTCCTTTGAATAAGAAAGGTAGAAATTTTCCAAATCAATTAGTCTAGGAACCAAAACTAGAATGTCTTTGTGAAGTTCCAGTACAACTACTTCTATATGAGTTGTATTCATTCTTGTGACAAATGAAATGTGTCATAAACTTGTGATTTCTAATCTCAGAAGAAACATTGCCCACTTTTGTGCTCTAAGCTCCATGTCAATTATGCTTTGTTTCTTTCCCTTTAAATTATCATCTCCATGACTACAATTCGGTTTCCAAGATGTTCATGAAACTACCCAGCCACAGGCTTGCAAAGCGTCCAAGCATATGTACAGGAATTAAGTGCAACCTCAGATAGATCTGTGGATTGTCTGTAAATTTTTAAACCATTACAGAGGCTCGGTGAAACAAAGGACATTGGGGAGATGGGTCAGGTTTTTCTGCGTGAAAGAAGAAAAACTTTGGTTACAGAAATGAAGAGAAAGGAGCATCCTTGATCTGTCTGAAGTCCAGGAGGAGATATGGGGAAAGGGACACTCGCTAGGTAACCCTAGCAGTGGAGCCGAGTGAGCCAGGCTGGAGGGACAGGCTAGTCAGCTTCAATGGGGGACGTGACTGCATCGTCACCAGGTGTCATCAGGCTGCAGAGCACTGGCCGTGGGGTCAGGTGCACCCCGGAGGCACCGGCAGCACCTTCCAGAGGGAGAGGCTGGGAGGAGAGCAGGCGGTGTCGCCTGGATCCTGGGACAGACGGAGGGCGGTTTGGATCAGCAGTTGGTAAAGAGAGTGGTGGAGGAGTGAAGCAAAGGGCGTGCAGGGGTGGGGTCCAGGTGTCTGGGAGAGAGTCCTGCAGAGGCGCCGTGGTGGCGAGCACTTAGTGGCAGGTGGGTGTCACTCCCCCTCTTCGTGGAGGAACGACACAGGACCCTGCGCTGTTCTTTTGTCTGCTCGGCCCTCCCCGGGTTTGCTGCTGGTTCTTCCCGGGTTGGCTGCCGTCCCTCCACCTCCGTGGAGGGGCGGGTCCCCTGCCACTTTCCCCACTTCCATGGGGGAGCGGCACACCGCCGGCCGGCTCTCTCGGGGGCTGCTCAGGTGTTCCTCAGGTGTTCCTAGTGCATGTTGTCTCTCTCCTCCTTTATAGTCCTCTTCCACCAATCCCAACTCTGCTACCCACACGCCGAGTACGCTGCTCTCCTCCAATCAGGAGCAGGTCCTACAGTTTATTGGTTGAACTGGAGGCAGCTGTGTAGAAGCTGTTTTCGTCTCTCCCAGCGCCATATTGTGGGAGAGCAGATGCATAGAATAAGTCTTAATTCCAGTAACTTAGTCTAGTCTCAGTTGCTCCCCACAGATCCCCCTTTCTTTTTATTCTTTGGCGTTGATACACGCCTGTCTTCGGTGCCCCACGGCACACACTCTTCTCTGCTTGCTAGAGTTGCCCACAGGTGCTTACAAGCCCTACCAATCAGGCAAACCGAATCCGGGTCCTCTCTTCGCCATGTTGTGAGGAGGTTTTTAGGCACTGATGTGTGCCTGTGTTCGGTGCCCTGCAGTGCATGCTCTGCTCGAGCTGCCTGCAAGTGCTTACCGCCTTAATCAGGCAGACCGAATCCAAGCCCTCTCATTGCCGTCTTGTGGGGAGACTTATTGGTGTTGATAACGTGCCTGTCTTCGGTGACCTGCAGCGGATAAGCTGCTAGCTGCCCGCAGGTGCTCATCGCCTTACTAATCAGGCAGACCGAATCCAAGCTCTTTCATTGCCGTGTTGTGGGGAGGCCTTATTTTTCTCTATTTCTCTATCTCCGGGCATTCCTATCTCTCCTATTTTACTTCTATCTGCCAGCATTCCTATTTCTCTCATTTTACTTCTATACTTCTGTTTCTCTTATCCCTGCGCTTTCCCGGCACCCGCCCCGAGGCGGCTTCTCGGCGCCTTGCCCCGAGGTGGCTTCCCAGCTCTGCGCCGCTTCCCGGCTCTGCGCGGCTTCAGCCCGTGCTTCTCTCATCTGCGTGGCTTCCCGGCTTCGCGCGCTCCCCGCGGTCTCCGCGCCCTTCGCACCCGCACCACGGCCTCCTCGCCAGCCCCGCACTTCCTATCTACTCGCGCCCCATGCGCTCTCTCCGCTTGTGCCCCGCGCGCCTTTCTGTGCGCTCGGCGGCTTCCGCGAATCACAGCCTAGCTCACGTTTCTGCCATCGGTTGGTTTAGTTTTCAGTCTAAGTTCCCCAGGCTAACCTGACGAAATCCAACCTAGCTTACGTCTCCGCCTTTTGGTTTGGCTTCCCGTCTTTTGCTCCCTGGGCTAATCTGACGGATCCCAACCTAGCTCACGTCTCCACTTCTGGTTTTAGTTTTTCGCCTTTTGCTCCCCGGGCTGACTTGATGAATCCCAACCTGGCTTACGTCTCCGCTTCGGCCTGCCCCCGCGGCTTCATCCTCCCTAACATTTTTCCCTACCCGGTATGTTTCCTAACTTTTCTTCCAACAATATTCCCCTCTCATTTCTCCTGGATTCTCCCCACAGTTGGTATCTGAGTCTAAGTTTCTTCTAGCTTTCACTTTCGCTTTCAACCATAGATCTCTCCTAACTTCTCCACCATAGTCCGTATCCGAGTCTATGTTTCTTCCAGCTTTCACTTTCGCTTTCAATCCTAACTTCTTCCGGCACTTTTTCCATCCGGCTTTTCCCTAGGCTCTTCCCTAGTCTCTCTCTCTCCAGTATTTTCCCGCTTCTTCCCTCCTAGGCTTCCTATCCGAGTCACGGCACCATTATGTCGCTCCCCCTCTTCGTGGAGGAACGACACAGGACCCTGCGCTGTTCTTTTGTCTGCTCGGCCCTTCCCGGGTTTGCTGCTGGTTCTTCCTGGGTTGGCTGTCATCCCTCCACCTCTGTGGAGGGGCAGGCCCCCTGCCACTTTCCCCACTTCCACGGGGGAGCGGCACACCGCCGGCCGGCTCTCTCAGGGGCTGCTCAGATGTTCCTTCAGATAGATGTTCCTGGTGCATGTTGTCTCTCTCCTCCTTTATAGTCCTCTTCCACCAATCCCAACTCTGCTGCCCACACGCCGAGTACGCTGCTCTCCTCCAATCAGGAGTAGGATCAGCTCCTGCAGGTTATTGGTTGAACTGGAGGCAGCTGTGTAGAAGCTGTTTCTCCCTTCTCAGCGCCATATTGTGGGAGAGCAGATGCATAGAATGAGTCTTAATTCCAGTAACTTAGTCTAGTCCAAGTTGCTCCCCACAGGTGGGGTGCCAAGGAGCAACAGGAACGGGCTGGGAAGGAAGTGGGTGTCAGTGAGTCTCTCACAGTGATGGAGAGGGGAGAGCAAAAGAAAGGATCAGCTGCTGCCTGGAAGGTGAGGGAGAGGAATGATTTTTGGTAATGAGATGCAGATGACCCACTTGTGTTATTAAGGGACCTACAGCTGAAATACTTCCGACTGTCACTCTTCCCCTGCAGCTGTCCCATCTTAAAAGGCTGCATGGGTCGACACTGTGGCTTTGCCATGCACTTCGGTGGGTGCACGGAAGGAGTCAGCACCAGACACACCGCCGCTGTGCCCTTGCACCATTCCAGGGCAGCTAGGGGCAGGCCAGAGGGGCTGTTTGGGGTCTGAGGCCTGTGTTTGTTTCTCGGGTGTCAGGCGCAGGGGTTTTCCATGGCACTGGATTTATTGGAACAGAAAAGTCATGTCCTGGAAAGACTGCCTGGGGTTTCTTGCCAATTCTGGACCAAATAAATGTCAACTTTAACAAACACTGAGTTCCATGCGAAGCACTTGAATCAGCATTTATTGGGCAATCAGTCGATGGCTCCACTTGGTGAGGGTGTGGTTTGATATGGAGAAGGCCACCCACTTTCACTTTTAGAAAATGCAGCAGGGGCCTGCACTGTGGCCTAGTGGGTAAAGCCACCACCTGCAGCACCGGCATCCCTTACGGGCGCTGGTTTGTGTCCTGGCTGCTCCACTTCCCATCAGATTCCTGCTAATAGGCTGGGAAGATCAGAAGATGGCCCAAGTGCTTGGGTCCCTGCTAACGTGTAGAAGACCCAGATGGAGCTACCAGGCCCTGACTGCACCCATCTGGGGAGTGAACCAGTGGATGGAAGACATCTCTATTTCTCCCTCCCTCTCTCTCTAACTCTCAAAATAAACAATTATTCAAAAAAAAAAAAAAGAGAGAGAAAATTAACTACTACAGTAAGAGTGGATGACTTTTAGTGGAAAAACTATTGAAATTGTAAAAAAGAATACAACAGTGTGAGTAGAGAAATGTCATGCCAATAAAATTTGAATCAGAAAATATTAATGTTGTATATATTTAATTTCCTTCACTTCTATGCTAATTGAAATTTTTCACTGTGCAACAGTCTTGTTATTTGTTTCAAAATCTGGCTGAGCTATGGAATAGAATTTGTTTTCTCCATACATGTAATATATTTACTTGGTGCCACCTGTTGGTCAAGTGGCAAATTAAAGATGAAACCATTGGCTGTTACAAAGTCTGACTGGCATTTTAACCTTGAATTATGAAGCAGTGGGCAATGAGAGAATGCTGTGTGAGTATTTAGATGGTTTTAGCTGTGTGTTAGCGTCATGCCCTTTATGCCTTTGTTGTTATTGGAGCAGTGAGGGCTGTGTGGTGTGGTGACTAAGTGTGGGATTCTGCAGCCAGAGTGCCTGGAGTCCAATCCCAGCTCCGTTATTTAGAAGCTCTGAGCTGAGCCTTAGGAAAGTTACCCTCGGTACGTATTTCCCTCACTTACTGTGAGGGTGAGAAGACAGTGTGCTTTCACCTGCACACACATTCTCGCTGTAGAACCTGGCCCGCAGGAGGCATGATGTACCTGTTGCCTGTCACTCTTGACCATGTTGAGTGTTCACAGCATGTAGACATGCCTGCCAGACAGCCTCGGAAGCACTTCATTCCTGTGCTGGAAGAGGGGAAAATGAGTTGGGGAGAAGCTCAGGAACTTGCTCAGTGTCTCATAAATGTCACTCGCTGAGCTGGGCTGTGCGGGGTGTTGGTTCTCGCCGCAAGCACACGCATCCCACCATGAGCCGTGCTTCCTACTGATGACCGTTGATGGTCCCGAGGTGTTTCACCTGGAATGACAAACAGCACTTTATTGTCAGACACAAGACCAAAAAGGTTCATCCTAAGCATTGTAAGGACTTTTTAAGCCATTTTTTAAAGTAAAATTATAGATTTTAGAGATATGTTCTGATCCCACTATTAATTCCAGTATATACTTGATATATTTATGATACATATGATCTAATTAAATATAATGTATTTAATATTATTGAAACAGGAACAAAAATAAGAGTTTAGTGAGAACTAAAGTCAATGGAGAACTAAGTCAGCTCCTGAATTCAGCCTGGCCCAGCCCTGGCTGTTGTGGGCATTTGGGGAGTGAACCAGCAGATGGGCGCTCCCTCCCTCCCTCCCTCCCTCCCTCCCTCCTTCCTTCTCTCCTTCCCTACTTCCTTCCATATGTCTGTTTCTTACTTTCTCTCACAAATAAAAGGATAAAATTTTCTAAAATAAGGTTGTTATTTAAAGACCTAACACATGAGAATTTCATAAAGATATTTATCTCCAAAGCTTCAGACTTCAAAAACAGTTAAAAATTTCAGCACTTTCGATTGTTGGTTATCATCAAAGTGTTATTTTATGATCTTTCCACAATGTAAAATACTCCTGAAACACTTATTTAATGTAGCAGATGTCATTAAGGAAATTAAGATAGTAAGATCAAAGCATCTTTTAAAATGTGAGATTAAAGTTTTACAAAAATCTGGCACCAGAAATTACAGAGAAGGGGAAATCTACCCGGTGTTATCAACAAGGTGCTGTGCTCCCTCTTGTGGCTGCTGCAGAAACTGTACCCAGTGTTAACTAGAAAGAAAAACACCAGGGCCCATTCTGTGGCATAGCCAGTTAAAGCCCTGGCCTCCAGCGCCAGCATCCCATATGGGCGCCGGTTCTAGTCCTGGCTGCTCCACTTCTGATCCAGCTCTCTGCTGTGGCCTGGGAAAGCAGTAGAAGATGCCCCCAAGTCCTTGGGCCCCTGCACCTGCGTGGGAGACCCGAAAGAAGCTCCTGGCTCCTGGCTATGGATCAGCTCAGCTCTGGGCGTTGTGGCCATTTGGGAAGTGAATTAGCATATGGGAGACCTCTCTCTTTCTTTGGCTCTACCTCTCTCTGTAACTCTATATTTCAAATAAATAAAATGAATTTTTTAAATGGATGGAAGGAAGGAAGACACCTCTGACTCTCTGGACTGTCATAGCTCTTGGTCACCATCGGCAGCACAGCTCCAGCTGGAAGGTGGAGAGGGCAGCCAGTCAGACGCCAGGGTGCCGCAGAGGGAGGCTGAGCAGGGGTGCAGGCTGGAAGACGGTGGGTGGAAAAGAAAGGAAATTCAAAAGGACGAGTGCTGCCCCTCCTCTCCTCAAGCGGATTTATTACTCGCAGAGGAATTCTGGCTGTTGCTTCCACTAATTCTGTTCTTCCTCTCCAAACTGGCAAACGCTCTTCCTGTTCTATTCAAATTGAAAGTATCAAATAACATTTGTTATGTCTGTGTGTGTATGCAAGTGAGTGCGCTCCTGTGTGCTCCCGTGTGTGCAGGCATGTACACGTGCATGTTCACATGTGTGCAAGCGTGTGCAAGTGCACTGGGAGAATGGTTTCACTTCCTTGCGGTGAGGCAGTGGTATACTGAAGCCATGTGCAGAGACAGATGCTGCTACAAGTTTGCATTTTGGGAAACAGTAACCTTGTAGTTCAATACAGAACCTTTCAGGTACAGAATATTCCCCACATCTTTGCTGACTATTCCTCCCCAGTTGGTTTGTTTCAAAAACAGATAGATCTCTGACGCCCTCTCCTCCATCACAGGTCCTGTGCATCTTGGAAGCCTTCGGACACGCAAAGACGACACTGAATGACCTGTCCAGCTGCTTCATCAAGTACCTGGAGCTGCAGTTCTGTGAGAGGAAGAAGCACGTCACGGGAGGTAAGTGTCCCGTTAGCAGACATGCCGTAGAGGAGGGCAGGGCAGTGCTGGGACCCACCAGACAGGGCCTCCTCGCTCCTGAGCAGGTAAGGGCGGAGGAAAGCCCCGGGGAGACCAGGAGGGAAAGAGGAAGACCGTCCTCACCAGCTGTGCTTGGAGACCCCTGGGCTCTTCTGCGCTGTGCTCACTGCGGGAGGACGAGGACCCACACCCAGACCTGCAGGGGGTGCCATGCCTGCAGCGTCAATTTAATGCCGTCCAGCGTAAGGTGAACCTGTTGAGGATGACAGTTATGTGTAAACAGTGCAATGTGGAACCGCATCCAAACCCAAAGAGCTGGATGGGATCATCCTTGTTGAACACAGAAAGGAACCCAAGTGCATAAATACATCATAACGTTAGTCTACAGAGTCCTGCACATAACACACTGAAATGTTTCTACACAGGACTGAATATGTTCTAAATGATCGAATTAAAACAAAGCCAAGCATCGTGATGATCCCAAACTAACACCAAAGGGAATCTGTTTCTTATTTAGATTAAATATTTACTGTGTATTTTGTGAAAATCCTTATTTAAAATTCAACCAATTGAGAATTCCCCATGGATGCTACATCCTTCTAATCAAAACAGATTATCCACATAAGTTAATAGCATAAGCACAATTATAGGGGACATGTGTAGCCTAAAAAATCTACAGCAGTTGCCTGCACACAGGTATTGATTTGCTCTTTATAAATGATTTTCTAAAGAACTCCGTTTCATGTGGCTTTTTCAAGTTACCCTGTCTTCCCTTCAGGAAATGAATGTTAGCGTTGATTGTAATCTGGGCACAAGCTGTGTGTTGCAGCAAGTGTTTGCCAAAATCAAATTTCTACTAAATGAAACCCAGCAATGCTCATAAGAGGAGAAAGGAAAGCTCATTTTAGATATTGAAGCTAGAAGCTGACGTTCTCATTTTTTTCCTTTTCTATTTTAAATGTATAACTAAGAGTTCTGAAGATCCACTCTTTCATAAGTGAAATGTCCAGGTCTGGTGTCTTGGGCCCTCAGGGGAGGACTCTCCCTGTGGAAGCCTTGGTCCAGCCTTGTCCATCCAGGGCAGTTTTCCTTGTGGGCCTGATAGCTAAAAGAGGATTCAGAAAGCTTGTGTACAATGGAAGTACAAGATTAGAATTAAGAAATGCAAACTGTAGTTCTCAACATGAGCCCCATCAAGGTCAGGATGCCCTTGTAGGTGATGGTTCCAGCCATGTGTTCCATTCCTAAAGAGCTGCAGATTGGAGGGTGTTAACCATGTAACACAATCTTTTTCACAGACTGGCTGGGTAACGATGAGTGTCCTGTTGTTGCCAGTGGCAGAATTGCAGTCCTGTGAGATGAAAGTAGGGATAGAGGAGCAAAGTTTATTATTTTTTTAAATATTTATTTATTTGAAAGTCAGAGTTAGAGAAGGAGGCAGAGAGAGAGGTCTACCATCTGTTGATTTGCTCCCCAATTGGCCACAATGGCCAGAGCTGGGCCAATCTGAAGCCAGGAGCCAGGAGCTTCCTCCAGGTCTCCCACATGAATGCAGGGTTACAAGGATTTGGACCATCCTCTGCTGCTTTCCCAGGCCACAGCAGAGAGCTGGATCAGAAGTGGGGCAGCTGGGTTTTTAACCAGTGCCCATATGGGATGCTGGCACTGCACCAGCCCTGCAAAGTTGATTAAAGTAAAGGAGGAATGGGCCAGTCAAGAGAACACAGCAACCTCTTCCCAGTTTGGGGATTTTCCCCTAACGTGTGAGGGGCGTTGACTGGTGATGTGGCAGTGATTCTCACAATTGGCACTTTTGATTGACATCTGACAGTTTCATGCCTTGAGTTCTCTGTGTTTGCAGTTTCCCGGTGTGCATCCAGAATGTCTAGGGAGGGACAGGGCTCAAAACTGCCAAACTAATTATGTCCTAATGACTGTTGAGTGAAGCAGGGGCACCCCAGTGTCAAACTGGGTCTCGTTGCCCACGTGCCATAAACTAGGCCTGGTTTGGCTGAGTTCCTGTTTTATCAGAACACTCTCACCACAAGTGAACTGCAAAGTGAGAATCTTGGGTGGGCCCTGGGATACAGCAGGGTCCTTGGTTTCACCCTTGGAGGAGGGTCTTGTGACCCCTCCCTAGTCACTTGTGTAAGTATCTGCCTGACAGCTTAAAGGATTTTTTTTAAAGATTCATTTATGGGCTCAGCGCTATGGCGTAGCAGGTAAAGCTGCCACCTGCAGTGCCAGCATCCCATATGGGCACCAGTTCAAGTCCTGGCCACTCCACTTCCGATCCAGCTCTCTGCTATTGCCTGGGAAAGCAGAAGAAGGTGGCCTAAGACCTTGGGACCCTGCCCCGTGTTGGAGACTGGAAGAAGCTCCTGGCTCCTGGCTTCAGATCGGTACTTCTGCAACCATTGCAGCCTTCTGTTGAATGAACCGGCGGGTGGAAGAACTAACTAACTAACTGACTAACTCTCTCTCTCTCTCTCTCTCTCTCTCTCTCAGCCTCTGCCTCTCTGTGACTCTGCCTTTCAAAAAGAAATATTTTTTAGATTTATTTATTTACTTGAAAGGCAGAGTGAGTGTGAGAGAGAGAAAGAGGGGGAGAGTGAAGGAGAGTTTCCACTCACTGGTTCACTTCCCAGATGGCTGCAATGACTGGAAATGGGCCAGACTGAAGCCTGCAGCCTGGAACTCCAATCCTTCCTTACGTGAGAGGGAAGCAGGGGCCCGGGCCCCCAGGCCGTCCTCCACTGCTTTCCCAAGAGCATTAGCAGGGAGCTGGGTTGGAAGCGGAGCAGCCAGGACTCAAACTGGCACTCATATGGGTTGTCAGCATCACTGGCAACTGCCTAACCCACTGCACCACAGTGCTACCCCTTACTTGAAGAGTTGTTTTTAAGATTAGGAAACAAAAAGAGAGCTCGTAAGGGGCCAAATTAGGACTGTAAAGTGGATGCCTGGAGATTTTCTGGTGAAAACTCCCACACTGCCCTTGTCTCATGTGAGCAGTCAGTGGGAACTGTCGTGGTGGGGAAGGGCTCTCTGCGATGCTTTCCTGGGCATCTTTCTGCCAAAGCCTTGGCTGACTTCCTCAAGACACTCTTGTAAGAAGCAGGTTTACTGGTTTTTTTGTTTTGTTTTGTTTTGGCTTCCCAGAAAGTCAACAAGGCTTCCCAGAAAACTGTTGTCATTACCGTTGCAAGGTGGCTTCTCCTTTGCAGCACGTCCACCTCTTTGTAGCCGTGGCTTTGCTTGTGCCTTTTCGTCTGGATTATACTGGTAAAGCTGTGTTGGTCTCCTGGTACAGTTCCTTGAAGAAAATGTTGATGCTGCTTGTCTGCAGCTGATCTGAGTGCAGAAATTGACACCCATCAAGCAGAAAGTTTGCTCCATTTGAATTTTTCAGCCAGGATTGTGTAAGACATGCGAGATGAGACACTTACAGTCCTGGCTGTTTTATCTGCTGTTAATTGTCGGTCCTCTTCAGTTAGGGCACAAAGGGATGACTGTTTCCTCACTAGTGGATGCAGATGGTCTTGTACTGTGGGCTGCACCTCCATCATCTCATCCTCTCTTAATAGGACTGTCCATCTGTCAATGCTGATTCCTTGGGTGCGTTGCCCCCACCAGCTTTTCATAAACCTTAAGTGGTGCCACCATCTATTCACCCAAGCTTCCTGTCGCTTGCGCCTGCTTCAGTTTAACAGAACCCATGCTGCTGTGATGGGGCTGTTTCCAAACTGATGTCTGATCTTTCTTAGTGCCTCAAGCTAAGTCCTGCTTAGGCTTGTTATACCAAGTCGGTATGAGCTTATTTTCTTGCAAAGAAAATTTAATGTACACATAGTTTTTTTTATAATTTTGATTTTCCATGAGCTTTTTGAAGACTGTGCTTAAGTGCGTAGCAAGTTCCCCAGGAGTAGGAGGCTGTGGGTTCAGCTCCTCGCCTGTGAAATGCACAGTCCAAGGACAAGCACTGCTGGCCTAATGGACATGCTCCTTAGGAATGCTGAATGCCAGGCCCCTCCAGGCCCCAGCTGAGTGAGACGCTGGGTTTCACCAGGATCCCCAGGTGGCTTCCAAACTCTGTTTGTGAACTCTACCTTAGCTCAACCTCAAGTAAAATGGACCCTTGTGTGTACGTGCAGTTGGCACCAAGAACACGCAGGTTATCTGGGTGTGACCAGTGAGACGTTTTGCTTTCTCAGCCCCTGGTCCTCCTCCTGCAGGGATCAGCGTCACTGGCTGCTGGAGGTGTGAGCATGCTTAGTTCTCTTTGTCCTCCGTGGAGTCTAGCATGTCCTCTCCCGCAGGGATGTTAATTTAGAAAAATAACTAGCAGAGCTGGATGATCCACAGTGCACACTTGTCTGTTAACACGCAGCCTCACGCACCTGCAGCACCGTCAGATCCACAGGCACCTGGCCAAGCACGCTGGGCCTCCGTGAGCCTCAAGCCGCTCGGGCTCCTAAAATGCCCCGTGGATCCTCAAGGAACTGCGAGCACCGATTCCATTTAAAGTCGGCGTTGTGCGTGACTTAGTGTATTCTCTCTCTCTCTCTCTCTCTCTCTCTCTCTTTTTTTTTTTTTTTACAGGCAGAGTGGACAGTGAGAGAGAGAAAGAGAGAGAGACAGAGAGGAAGGTCTTCCTTTGCTGTTGGTTCACCCTCCAATGGCCGCCGCGGCCGGTGCGCTGCAGCCGGTACAGCACACTGATCCGAAGGCAGGAGCCAGGTGCTTCTCCTGGTCTCCCATGGGGTGCAGGGCCCAAGCACTTGGGCCATCCTCCACTGCACTCCTGGGCCACAGCAGAGAGCTGGCCTGGAAGAGGGGCAATCAGGACAGAATCCGGCGCCCCGACCGGGACTAGAACCCGGTGTGCCGGCGCCGCTAGGTGGAGGATTAGCCTAGAGAGCCGCAGTCCGGCAGTGTATTCTCTTAAAGGCAGTGCAGGCACTGATGCAGCCATCCTC